CAAGTGTAGGGAACTTAGGGTGACAGCCTGAGAACACTTTGAAAACTTAATCCTTAGACTCAATCACTCTGTTCACTCAATGCCACTCTCCTCAGGGAGAATATAAACTACACACACATACTCACCCCCCAAAAAATTCCAAACAGGTAGGAAGCCAGAATGTACTACTATGACCTTGGTCCTCAAAAGCATTATTGAGGACACAAGGAATAAACGGGTTGTACTGAAATGGATTTCTTCAAACTGTGTGGCATGTTGTGGCCCAGCCAAATTGGCTCCTGAGCTCTTTCTCCCCAAAGATGCCCATGTATTAACTCTCTAGTGCAAGCCAGCATTCAAAAAGATATACATTATAGAGTCAAAATCACAGAAAATCATTTTTCGCTAACACAGGACAGCAGAGTAGGAACCTTCATTTTTTTGAACGTCCCTCTCTGTTCCAGACACCTCCCTGACTCAGGCTGGTATCACTATGTCTTTGGAACAGAAAGTTAAAAAAATTTAGCCAATTGAATGGCATTTTGGCTGGCATCACATTCTCAGCTCAGCTTTCTACTCTGCTCTCTGCTCTGGAGCCTAAATTAGTCCCTATATCTTTCTTCTTAAACTCCTATCATTACTATGAAGCCACGTGCTTTGGCAGCTGCCAGCTGATGTGTCTGCCTTCCCTAATAGGCAAATGCTTTCTTCAGGTCCAAAGAGAGAAGAAAAAGAAGGGAAAATGGAAATGCAGTGTAATTTTATTCTGTTGTCAAGGGCTCTGATTAGTTCCTGTCACTAAATTCTTGGGAATAATCCATCTCCTCGAGGTTGCTTATCAAGGACTGTATAACGTATAATCCTTTACCTGGGATTCAGATAGGAGCCAACTCTGGGGAATGCACTGGTGTTGTGGAAAGCTATTTCATGGCTTACCATACTTCCCTAAGCAGTCATTTTGCCCCTTAATCTTCACAAGTACAGAGGCAGTGGGGAAAGATTTGCAATTAAAATAGCATGTGTAGCTTGGAGGAGAATCCAGGAATAAGTAATTGTGTACTCTAAGCAGTGAGGCTAGAAGCTGGCCACGTGTAAGCATGGAAAGAGACCCAGAGGCAGAGAGGACTGAGTGAGAGCAGCAGGGAGGATGCAAAAGATCATATGGATCACGATCAAAAGCAAGAGGCAAGAGGAATTATGTAGAACTTGAATTCTTCAAAGAACTGTCAATCTATTGGAGGGTCTTACATTGTTGTTAGACTGTATATCTTTATATAGCTTTTCACACAGTAGATAAATTTTTGTTGAATGGCTGTATGAATGAATAAATGGATGAATAAATGATTTAGGATTTTAAGTCTTAAAATGAATGGAATTTATCCTTTAACTGTACAATCAAGTCATTATTTGCTGGAAAAATTATACTGAAGGAGATATCTGCTGTAGAACACAAGCATGATGGAATATTGGGTGATGACTGAAACACGGAAAAATTAATCCAGCTAATTCAAAATGAGAATAAACATTTAAGTCTATTCTGATTCACAATTATCGATACAACGTTAAAAAAAAAACATGTTAAATGATTAATGTAAACAGGATTTTAGGGGAAGAAAATTAGTTTGTTGTGAAGATTAGAGACATTACATGCATTTCAATTGTGCGAAGTTTAACAATGGGTTTAGGAATGCTATCTTGTATTTATTAAAACAGACTCCAATGGACCATCCCTCACTTTATGTGTTACTATGTGGATCTGAAAATTAGAGATGTATTTTCATTTCAAAACATTCAGCAATTCAAGCTTTTCTTTTTTTAATCTACTAGAATATACTGGCCTTTGTAAAATTTTAAACTTATCTCAAATGTATAAGCTGATAGAAAGCAAGAAACAGACCCAAGGAAAAGAAGAAGTTGAGTAGTGTTGGTTTGCTAGAAAAAAAAAGTGAGGAGAAGGAAATTAGCAAATGCCAAAGAGAAATATACTAATTATTATCAGTGAGTATAAAGAATATAAAGAAAGATTCCAGGCACTCTCTTCTGCAACTCATTTTTAGTAAAAATGTTTTGTTTAAACTCAGTCTTTGCAAAAAAATTCTAGGAAAATTAATGCAGGTTAGCTAAACCTTCTAAACATCTAAATGTTAGTAAACAGGACATTTAAACCTGTGGCATTTAATAGAGCTCTAATCCACTGCACATCTACACTTCTCTGACATTGAGTTTTTAAAGCTTGCAAAGGAAAATATTATAATACCAAAAACTGCACTTGAATAGTCTACATATTACAATGTAGTTATATTCCTAGAGAGTCTCTGTCTATTACATCAAAAAATTGGACATTAAATGTCCAAAGATGTCAGCATAGAGCTGAGCCATGACTCTCATACATGATACAAAGCAAAGGACCCCCTTTGCCTTTCAGGGTAGTACCACTTGTACTCTTTGAAATACCTACTTCCCCCAGGCAGACTGTCTCGGTCAAAGATGCACAGCTTGTATCCAAATTCATTCTCCAAAACTCCACGGAGGGTCAGTAATACAAATTCTTCTTCTTCAGCATTCCTTGCATAGGATACATAAATATCATATTCCTTCCCATCTAGCAAAAGGAACACAGATCCAATATAAATGAGGAAAGCTTCTCAATAGTATTGGATTTTTTTCATTAAATTGAACTTTTGCATATTAGACATTTTCATTTTTCACATGTATAAATTATCTGACAGATTTCAGTGTGATTTCCCACTTGGGACAGGTCTCCAGGCAAAATGACTATTTTAAGGTGTAATTGCAAATTTTATCTGATGTGTCTTCTACTCTCATCTTACTGAGTTCAGTTTTTATAGTTGAGAATGAGTGAAGTTTGGCTCATTCAACTATGAATGAACAGAATCAGGATGCAAATAGTTAGTCAATCATAGGTTCTGGCAATTAACACCACGCAGAAAATTTCTAGTTCCTGTCCTAGTATGTCACTCACTAATATACTAGAATTATAATTTGAGCAAAACTTTTAGAAACTGTCTAAATTATTTATACCTGAAAGTAGCTACAATTAAATATATACTTAGATTCATTAAACCAATCTTTCCCAAAATTGTCTAATTATAAAAATCTCCTCTCATTAAAAATACAGGTTATGTGTCTCTTCCACAAACCTACTGAATGAGAATCTTTACAGGATGGGTCTAAGAATCTATATGTTTGAGGGTTCCATTCTTGTCACCAGGCAAATGTGCACCAGAACCGTGCTTTAATGTGCATATCAATCATTTGGGAATATTACTAAAATGTAGATTATGATTCAGAATAGGAGTTATGCTTAAGATTCTCGTTTTAATAAGCTCTCATGTGTTGCTGGGCATTTATCACCCTTGAGTACCAAGAGTGTGGACCTGCACTGCCCAACACAGCAGACACAAGCCACATGTGGCTACTGAACACTTGAAATGTGGGTGGTATGAACTGAAATACGCTGTAAGTGTAAAATACAATACATACTGAATTTTGAAGATTTTTAGTGTCAAAAATGAGACTAAAATATCATTAACTTTTTAATATTAATTACATGCTAAAATGATAATATTTTTAATATATTGGGTTGAATAAGATACATTATTAAAGTTATTTTCACTTTCTTTTTATCTTACCAATGTGACCACTAAAAATTTTAAATTACATATGTGGTTTGCACTATATTTCTATTTGAACAGGGCTAATCTAGACTAAATCACATACTGAGCCAAGAAAGCAGAATAATACACATGAGAAAGATTTTCAATAGTAAGGGCTGAAACAAAAGGTAGTCTGATTAAATCGTCCAGTTAATCTAGGTTTTATCAAGCCAGCACGTTTTCTAAAGATGACAGAAGAAAAGATTTACATCCAACTTCCATTACTCACCTAAAATGGTTTCATCTGTTCCAAAATGAGCCCGGTAAAATAGGACCATCTCCAGCCAGTAAACATGGTAAATAACAATGAGAATCACCACCAGCAGGATTGTGGCTCCAAAACCACATGCCAGTTCCACAGTGTATCTCGGAGCTATCACTGGAGTGAACAACAAAGAAACAGAATTGATTTCTATGTGGTGATCACAGTGACCCATTATCCTGCAAACAGCTGGATAAGCCAAGCAGCTGAGCCACCAACCTAACTTATGTGTATGAACAAGCAGAGATAACATGGTAGGGTTTAAGCACTATGTTTCAATACTAGACTGGGTCATATTTATCTTTTTGTTTCCAGCACCTGGCATAGAAGGCATTTTTAACTCTTAGATGACTGAATAGACCTTGATGATATGCAAATTAACACAGAATCTTAGCATTGGGAATGATTTAGAAGGTCATCTAATTCACAATCTGATATCTGAATCTCCTCAAAAATGTGGTTGAAAAGTGTAATTCTATCCTCTGTTTATCCATCTCTTGGGATGGAATTCTCACTACTACCTGGGCCAGCCCATGATATTGGTAGATTTTGACTTGCTGGAGCAGTTGAATTGAGCAAAACCTTAATGTGTTTCCATTAGTCTTAATTTCATCCTTTTGTCCAGTGCCATATGGAAGAAATTTAATTCTCTTTGCTTTATATTTGCAAATAGGCCTCAAAAATCTTATTTTCATTGGGCAGAATTAGAGCATATCCACCAAATGCTGAGTAGGCTTGGCTCTGAAAGTATCTCTAGGTCTACAGTTCTAGGATACATATTCCAAAGACTGACTTGCAACATCCAGGTATGGGCAGATTTTCACATTATCTGGTTATTTTTATATGATAGGCACCTTAGCAATTTCTTTGGAATCATCAGAAATAGAGTGAGGTAATTCCCGATTACCCAAAAACCAGGTATTAACTCAGTCCTATAAACAAGGTCTGTCGTAACCCAATCACCAACCACCTCTGCCTCATTTTCCATTGCTCTTTCCTCAAAAACATCAGGAAGATTTAATTCCATGCCTTTGCTCATGCTTTGACTTCTGGCTGGAATATTCCTTTCTCTTTCTTTAGCCTTCAAGTCCATGCTCAAATGTCATGATTTTGTATACACTTTCCTAGAATAAAACTCTTCTTGCAACCTGACCTCTGTTTGGCAGAAGTTCCCACTCTTCCCTTTGTTTACAATTTTATTACAGCATTTTTATTATATTGTAATTTGTCTACAAGCTTGATTCTCCACGCTATCTCACTCCTCACTAAACTCTACATCGACAGTCTTCTAGGTAGAGACTGTGTCTTCTTCTTCCATCCTACACCTAGAATACCAGGGATCTCAATGAACATTTCCAGATATAACACTGTACACTTTTGGAATATTTAAAAGAAATCTAGTACTATACTATGTATCAATAACTTCATTTGGCTGCTTTATTAGCTTGTGATAATGAAGCTTAAGAGTTTGAAGAAGAAACAGAATATTTTCTGGATCTGAAGCAAGAGTGGCTTAATTATGTTATAGTTGATTTGACAATTATTAACACCTACTATTTGCCAGAGGCTGTTGGGGATACAGTGGTGGTGATCTCTGCCCTCTTAGGGCTCATATTCTAATGCAGGGAAATAAATAAATAAGACAGTTAATTTTAGATAGTGGTCAGTGCTGTTAGGGAAATAAACCAGGGTAATGTGATGGACGTGACTGAGGGCTGGGGTTGGGGCAGGAGATGTATATTAGACAGGGTGGTGAGAAAAGGCCCCTTTTAGCACCTGACCATCATAGGTATTAAGTGTTTACCAAGACAAGACACAGAAGAATTGTGTTCAAAGCTGGGATTGTTATCGAGGCTCCCTGACTCCAAAGTCCAGAGATGTTTGCACAACACTACCATGAAGTTCAACTATTGATCACATACTAGTGGAAAAGTCCTTTTTAAAACAGGTATCTATCCTAAGTGGAAAATGGTAAGCAGCCTGGAGCTGAGCCTGAAGTTCTCTAATTAAAGGGTGAATCACAGAGTTTTGAGTTCATTATACCAAACTCAGGATACTAATCCTACCACAGATATAGCCTGGGACTCAGCAGTGCAGAATTTTGATCAGGTACTCTTGTACTCGTTCCATGAACAATGGAGCTTTAAAATAAGAAAACTCCATCATAAAATTCCAGAAGCTATGTCAGTGCAGTTGTTGAGAACTTACTAGGATCAATTTGGGTAGCTGGCATGAAAATTGCTGTGTCTTTGGTATTTCTGAGTACATGGTATGTTAACAGTACGCTAAGGTAATTCCTTCTGTCATCTTCGTTATTTGCTCAGTTATTTTGGCTCTCTCTGGGTGGACATTTTGTAATAGGGAGGGAAAAAAAAAAGAGGTCAGTGGATGCACTTACCTGAAATGGATTTTTTAAAAATTTCAATAGATATCTTGCTTAATGATCAAGAGATCAATTACTCATAAATTTCCCTCTGCCATATTCATTTTACTGCTGCCTATTTTATTTTTAGTGGGGCTTTTTAATTTTGTTTTATGTCATAAGATTACATGTATCATATTTACAGATTATGTTTTGTGGGGCCATCCTGATGATATCAAGAAGTTCCTAATGCTATTTAACTAATTGAACTCTTAAGATAAATAATCCACAAGCCTGAATTTTTAAATGGCTTGAATCACATGCAGGAAGTGCTCTAAAAAGCTTTCATATAAAGCTTTGCTCACCTGCAGGGAAAGAGTGACCCTCAGCCCACATTTTCTGTCTGCCCCAGCTGTACCCTCTGATGTTTTGGCATAAAGATTTTACTCTGATGCAATCCCAGACAAAAGGGTTTCCAATCAGCAAAGGGTGATGTAATTTGACCAAACTGGACTCCTCAATTGCTTCTCTCTTTGATCTCATTGATAATCTGATTCAGGATACAGCCAAATTTAGCCACTTGCTCTGTTGTTACTCCCTGAATCAGAATTTCTTCCATCCCTTTTGCAATTCTACAGTAACAACTGGCTCCAAAGCCCAAATTTCCAGTTAACTACCCTTGGTTAAACCAGTCCAATATTTTAGCTCTAGTCTTTTTCCCTGTTTCAAGCTATTGGTCTACAATCTTGTTCATCCTTGGAAACCTGTTATTCTCTTCATCTTCATTATTGTAGTTGGGGTCTTGCTATCCATTGAGTCTCCCAACCAAATACCAGCTGCTTGGACTTCCAAGTAGTCCCAGCCACAGAGCCTGTGTTTATTCTTTGCTAAATTTCTGGGACTCCTTGATAATTTTTAGAACGGTGGTAATGACCATTTTCCTGAGTTACAAATAAATAGAATGCTTTATTTAAATGATAGTAATCCAGAGACCTATGACTACATTCATCTGCAGACCTCATTTGTTTAACTATCACCGTGTGTTAAAACTTGTGTATTTTGGAGTTCAGCATCTGGCCTTAGAGGAGTAATCAATACTGGAGTAGCCTTCTCTTTATAATATCGAAAATGACAATTTTTCAAAGTTGGACAACTGGTAGTGCCGGAGTGTGATCTGTGAGTGAAAGGACACAGAGAAGGCCAGCCCTACGATCACCCTGGCTTTTTGCCTGAAACACTTTCGGGACTGTGACACAGAAAGGGGAAAATCAAAAGAGGTACAATAGTCACACTGAGCTAAGGAGATAGAAAATCGAGTTCAGGACTATTGAATTTATAGACCTGGGTACTGGAGAGAAGAAAATCGTGCAGAAAAGGAGCTCTAGAAATTCGCAAGTCTTTGGAAAAATACAAAGCTTTGTGTGTTTAGGGTGACACTTCACAAGGTCAGGTAAAGAACAACTACCAGTGGAAAAAAACTACCAGGAAAGAAATGACTACTAGAGAGCTGGGAAGTGAACAACTCCAGGAGTCCACGGAGGGCTGGGAGAAATGTGAGTTAAGACCACTCAGAGTGAAGAAACTTTGTGTAGGTCCCCAAGTATTAAGGGGAGGCCTCAGATAGGCTATGCCTTAGAAATAGGTCCAATTTAGCGTTAGAGAACATGCTAATTTAGACCTACTCTAGCAAAGATAAGCAAAATACTTCAAAAAATAGCTAGCTGTTATGCAAGTAAATTAACTACCTGCTAAAACAAAACTTAACATTGACTACAAACTTCAGACACTCAGTAATGTAACACCCAAAATGTCCAGCACAGGATTAAAAAAAAAAAAAAAACAGACAGAAGAAAAAGCAAAAAAAAAAATGACCCATATCAGAAGAAAAATCAGCCAATAAAAACAGAACCGGAACTGACAAAGACGATGGAATTAGCAGATAAATGCTTTAAAATGAATACTATAAATATGCTCGTTGAAATTTTTAAAAAGTCCATGAACTTTATAAGAGCAAATAGGAAACATCAATACAGACATTTTGATGGAGAAATATAAATTCAAAAATTGAAAAATAAAATTCTGAAATTAAGAATGCTTTAGATTAGACATCAAAAAGAAATGATCAGTGGACACCAGAAATTATCCTAGCTGAAACACAGAGGAAAAAGAGGATGACATAAAAACTAGAACCTTAGCGACTTGTGGGACAACACCAAATGGCCTTTCCTAAATTTAATTGGAGTACCAGAAGCAAAGGAAAGAAGGAATGAATGAAAAAATGAGCAAAATATATTTAAAGAAATAATGGCTGAAATTTTTTCAAATTAAATGAAAAATATAAACTCATAGAACTAAGGAGTTTAAAGAACACTAAGTAAGATACATACAAATAAAACCACATCAAAGGATATCATAATGTAATTTTTGAAAATCAAAGAAGAAGAGAAAAATCTTAAAATTTATTAAAGAAAAAGAGACGAGACATACATTAAGGTAACAATGATAAAAAAAAACCCTGCCCAATTCATATTAGAAACGATATTGGCCAGAAGACAACAGAATGACACCTTTAAAGGGCTGAAAGAAAAAAAAGAAAAAGAAAATTTTCAACCTGTAATTATATATCCAGTGAAAATATTGACAGAGGCACTAGAGTAACAGAATGAAGAAATGAAAATCTTTCCAACAAATTGCATTGGAACTGGATATCCATATAACAAGAGATTAAACTTCAATTCCTACTTCATAGCATATA